AAAAGTTTATTACAGTACAGGTCTACCTCAAGAAGCAAGAAAAGTCTTGGGCGCCTGGGTGGCTCAGTTGGTTAAGCGACTGCCTTCGGCTCAGGTCATAACCCTGGAGTCCTGGGATCGAGTCCCACATCGGGCTCCCTGCTCAGCAGGGAGTCTGCTTCTCCCTCTGACCCTCTACCCTCTCGTGCCTTCTCTCATTCTCTCTCTCAAATAAATAAATAAAATCTTAAAAAAATAAAATAAAGAAAAGCCTCAAATATATAACCTAAACTTACACTTAAAGTTAAGAGCTAGAAAAGAATAGTAAATAAAGCCTAAAGCCAGCAGAAGAAGGGAAATAATAAAGACTAGAGCAGAAATCAATGATATACAAACAACCCAGTAGAACAGATTAACAAAGAGCTGGTTCTTCAAAAAATTAATGAAATTGATAATCCCCTACCAGACTTACCAAAAATAAAAGAGAAAGGACCCAAATAGATAAAATCACAAATGACAGAGGAGAGATCACAACCAACATCACAGAAATACAAGAATACTATGAAAAATTATATGCCAACAAACTTGACAATCTGGAAGAAATGGACAAATTCCTAGAAACTTACAAACTACCAAAACTGAAACACAAAGATGTTGAATACTGAACAGACCCATAACCAGCAAAGAAATTGAAACAGTAATCAAAAAATCTCTGGGCTGAATGGCTTCCCAGGGAAATTCTACCAGACATTTAAATAAGAGCTAGCACCTATTCTTCTCAAACTATTCCAGAGAATAGAAATGGAAGGAAAGCTTCCAAATTCATTCTACAAAGCCAGCTTCCCTTGATTCCAAAAACCCCACTAAAAAGAAGAATTACAGGCCAATATCCCTGATGAACATGGATGCAACAAGTCTCAATAAAATACTAGCAAATCAAATCCAACTGTACATGAGGAGAATTATTCACCACGGTCAAGTCGGATTTATTCCTGGGCAGCAGGGCTGGTTCAATATTCCCAAATCCCAAATGTTGTAGTATATCAACATGATATACTACATTAATAAAAGAAAGGATAAAAACCATATGATCCTCTCAATAGATGCAGAAAAAGCATTTGACAAAATACAGCATCCATTCTTGATAAAAACCCTCAACAAAGTAGGGATAGATAGAACACACCTCAACATCATAAAAGCCTTATCTGAAAAACCCACAGCTAATATGATCCCTAGGGGAAAAACTGAGAGCCTTTCCCCTATGGTCAGGAACAAGACAAGGATGTCCATTCTCACCATTACTATTTAACATAGTCCTGGAAGTCTTAGCCCCACCAATCAGACAACACAAAGAAGTAAAAGGCATCTGAATAGGCAAGGAAGAAGTCAAACTTGCATTATTTGTAGACAATATGATACTCTGTGTAGAAAACCTGAAAGACTACACCAAAACATTGCTAGAAGTTATACATGAATTCAGCAAAGTGGCAGGATATAAAATCAATGTGCAGAAATCTCTTGCATTTCTATACACCAATAACAAAGAAGTAGAAAAAGAAACAAGGACTCAACCTCCTTTGCCACTGCACCCAGAACAATAAGATACCTAACTAAATAAGTAAAATATCTGTACTCTGAAAACCACAGAACACTTTGGAAAGAAATTGAAGAGGACACAAAGAAATGGAAAAGCATTCCGTGTTCATGGATTAGAAGAACATTGTTAAAATAGCCATATTACCAATATCCAATCGACACATTTAATGCAATCCCCATCAAAATACCATAGAGCTAGAAGAAACAATCCTAAAATGTGTATGGAAGCATGAAAGATTCCAAATAGCCAAAGCAATTCTGAAAAAGAAAAACAAAACTGGAGGCATAACTATTCCAGATTTCAAGCTCTATTACAAAGCTGTAGTCATCAAGACAGTATGGTACTGGCACAAAAACAGACAGATCAATGAAACAGAATAGAGAACCTAGAAATGGACCCACAACTATATGGTCAACTAATCTTCAACAAAGCAGGAAACAATATCCAATGGAAAAAAGTCTTTTCAACAAACAGTGTTTGAAAAACTAGACAGCAACATGCAGAAAAATGAAACTAGACAACTTTCTTACACCATACACAAAAATAGATTCAAAATGGATGAAAGACCTTGATATGAGACAGGAAACCATCAAAATTCTAGGGGAGAACACGGGGGGAAACCTCTGTGACCTCAGCCACAGCAACTTCCTTACTGGACACATCGCCAGAGGCAAAGGAAACAAAAGCAAGGATGAACTATTGGGGCTTCATCAAGATAAAAAGCTTCTGCACAGAGAAGGAGACAATCAACAAAACTAAAAGACACCCTACAGAATGGGTGAAGATATTTGCAAACAACGTATCTGATAAAGGGTTAGTATCAAAAATCTACAACGAACTTACCAAACTCAACACCCCAAACACAAATAACCCAGTTAAGAAATGGGAAGAAGCCATGAATAGATACTTTTCCAAAAAAAGACATCCAGGTGGCTAACAGACACATGAAAAGAAAAGAAAAGCATCTTTTCTATACATCTTAAATGTATTTCTATACATCTTAAATGTATAAATTTAAGAGTCCTTAAATTTACAGATGAAACATCAACATCACTCATTATCAGGGAAAAACAAATGAAAACCATGATGAGATATCATCTCACACCTGTCAGGATGGTTAAAATTAACAGGCAAGAAATAACAGGTGTTGGCAAGGATGCAGAGAAAGGGGAACCCTCTTGCGCTGCTGGTCGGAATGCAAATTGGTGCAGCCATTCTGGAGTACGGAGGTTCCTCAAAAAGTTAAAAAAAAACTACCCTATGATCCAGCAATTGTACTACTGGGTATTTACCCAAAGGATACAAAAATACAGATTCAAAGGGATACATGCACCCCAATGTTTATAGCAGCATTATCAACAATAGCCCAACTATGGAGAGAGCCCAAATACCAATCGACTGATGAATGGATAAAGAAAATGTGGTACATATATACAATGGAATATTATTCAGCCATCAAAAAGGATGAAATCTTGCCATTTGCGATGACATGGATGGAGCTAGAGTGTATTATGCTAAGTGAAAGAAGTCAGTCAAAGACAAATACCATATGATCTCACTCATACATGGAATTTAAAAAAGAAAACAGATGAACATATGGGAAGAGGGAAAAGAAAAAAAGGAGAGAGGGAAATAAGTCATAAGAGTCTCTTAACGATAGAGAACAAACTAAGGGTTGATGGAGGGGTGGGGGACAGGTGATGGGTATTAAGGAGGGCACTTGTTATGATCAGCAGTGGGTGTTTATGTAAGTGACCGATCACTGAATTCTACTCCCAAAACTAATATTGCACTGTATGTTAACTACTTAAAATTTAAATAATTTTTTAAAAAAGAAAAACTGGTGAGTTAACAATATATGGTTCTGTATAAATTTATCAATGCTAATAGATAGAACTATATTATTCAATGTTCAGATGTTTCTGATAAACATTTTTGTTTGTCTTGTTTAACATTTGTAAGTCAAGGGCCTATTTTTAATGATTGCTCATCTAAAAATACCATGAGACATGATTTAAATTTGTTCTTTAGGGTGACAAGAAGAATGATACCCAGATCTTTGCACTGGCAATACTACTGAGCAGTATCTTTGTATACAATACTATGAACAAAATTGACCAGAGAGCTATTGACCTATTGCAGTATCCTTTTGTGGTCCAAGATGGCACCAAAGCTGAGAGAACCGTATTTACCAACTGTGTTTGTGAGTTTGTGAATTAAACACAAAAATGAAAACATGTAAGCATTAAAGGTACAATAAAGAGAGTCCTTAAATTTACAGATGAAATAAGGAGTTAAGATCCAAAGGGAAAATAAAAGAATAGGGAGACATGGAATTAAATATACGGGCTTAGATGAGTTCTATTTCCAAGAGTTTTCCTTAACTGCATCCCAGCTATGTGACAGAACTGTCAAATCGGCTCAGGAAAGTAGCCTCACCTGATTTTGAAGGGGTTGAAGATGCAACTAACCTTGAGAGCTTCTGTCCAGACTTCGTGTGGATTCTGAGAGATTTCTACCTAACCCTGGAAGTAGATGAGCAAGTCATCACAGCAGATGAATACCTGGAGAATTCCCTGAGGCTAAAGCAAGGTAACAGGGACTTGAGTCTTAGAAAGAGATGAAAAGTAATAAAAGAAATTATCTCTCAAGTGTAAGTGGTTAAATTCAGTCTCCTATATTTATTCACCGGGGCTAAAGTACCAAATAAATATTAATTTATAGTAAACTAATTGACTCAATATTAAAATGTATTACTCTTCTGTTCTTGGAGCAAGGTTTTCTTTTTTCCTTTCCCTAATTAGTTACCTTTTAGCTTTTTGCTTAGAGTCTGTGAAGATTTACTGAAATAAATAACATCAGGTGGAAGGCACATTTATTTGTGGAGAGTAAGTTAACTCAAATGTTAATCTTGTACTAAATAAATCCTATTTTTCTTTCCCCAGGCACTAATCAAAGTGTTCAAAATTTCAATTTGCCCCGTCTATGTATAAAAGAATTCTTTCCAATAAGGAAATGCTTTATCTTTGACTCTCCCACTCACCGGAAGAAGCTTGCCAAGCTTGAGTCACTGCCTAACGAAGATCTGGATCCTGAATTTGTGGAACAAGTGGCAACATTCTGTTCCTACATCTTTAACCATTCCAAGACTAAAGCTCTTCCAGGGGGTATCAAGGTCAATGGGCCCCGTGAGTATCTTTTTTAGGATTTTCCTTCAATTCAACATAAGGAATGGGACACTGTTCTAAGTTTCTCCTTCCACTGTCAATGTTGAAAGTGCATAGTCAGTTACTACCAAGAAAATCATGTGTATCATATTTATTAAATTCCAGTGGGTACCAAAAATATTTCTAGTGTTTAGTAATGCCTCAAAAGTAGGATAAAATAGAAATGTAACCTGGAAAAAAAGGTCAAGTTAAAAAAGTTCTCCCCATAAGTGGTCCACTGTTGAACTAGACTAACCCACATGGGTTGGCACCATTGTTCAAACAATATAGTAGATACTTATTATATGTCCCAGGCTTTGAGAGACACAAAAATGAGGACCACATATACATTCTCTGTGGAAATGAAGTGAGTTCATACAAACATTAAACAGAGGCCCAGGTTGTCTAGAACCCTAAAAAAAATCTAAGCAGACTTCTAGATCCAGTTTCTCCTGAAGTCTGTATGTCTCAGAATTCTGTAAATTATTACTGCATTCTAGAAGAAAGGTGAGTGCAAACAAAAGTATGCAAAGGACAAGAAAGACAAACAGGAATGTTTCGACAAAGGGTAAAGGAGACCTGGTCTAATGTGCTCGCTTTGTGCTTTTCCAGAGCAGGATAAAACTCATGCTTTACATACAGAAGTGAAAGACGAAAGGGAATTCTGAAGGGAATAGAACCTCGAGGAAGGGGGGAAGAAAGGGAAGAGTAAAGAAGCAAAAGGCCTAGGGTGCCTGGGTGGCTCAGTCAGTTAAGTGACTACCTTCGGCTCAGGTCATGATCCTGGAGTCCTGGGATCGAGTCCTACATCGGGCTCCCGGCTCAGCGGGGGGGCCTGCTTCTCCCTCTGACCTTCTCCCCTCTCATGCTGTTTCTCACTCTAATAAAAAAAAAATCTTAAAAAAAAAAAAAAAAGCAAAAGGCCTATAGCATCCTAATCAAACAAATATGCCCAAGTTTATATGACCATTTTCTTATTTCTCAATGAGAAAAGGATGAAATGTGGATGATCACATACATCTTGAGTTTTTCCCTTTGAATACTTTCTTTTCCCAAAGAAAGAACGATCCTTGTTTTGGTCACACAGTCTCCCAAAGGACCTTATTTGGACCACTTGAACAGGGTACACAAAGCTGAAAAAATGCAGGCAATGCACTGTGAAATTAACATTCACAGAATTACCCAGTTTAGGGCACGCCTTCTTTCTTACAAATAATACAAGCATCTCCTCCCCCTGTGAAGGTCTAAAAAGCCTAGTGCTGACCTACATTAATGCCATCAGTCGTGGGGATCTGCCCTGCATGGAGAACTCAGTCTTGGCCTTGGCCCAGATCAAGAACTCAGCAGCAGTAAAAAAAGCCATTGCCCACTATGACCAGCAGATGGGCCAGAAGGTGCAGCTGCCCATAGAAACCCTCCAGGAGTTGCTGGACCTGCACAGGGAAAGTGAAAGAGAGGCCATAGAACTCTTCATGAAGAACTCATTCAAGGATATGGACCAAAAGTTTCAGAAGGAATTAGAAGTAATTATCTTTTCTTTTTTCTTCTCTAGGTCATGGGGCTTATGAACAATAAGAGGCAAAGTTGCTTTTTACTGCTATGAAAGGCAAAATGGGGACTGAAAAAAGAAAAGCAATCCTTACTAGACTGGAAAATAATGATTACCACTTACCTGATCAAGATTTCACTTATTCTGAAAACAAACAAACATGTTACTACCCTGGACCCTATAGATTCTGAAACTTTCACACACACAAGATGCACTGTACCATGTTACAACCATGGACTAATTTTTTAAGCCATCTTATTCTTAAAACATTTTATTCATAAAGTATTCATTAACTTTCCTTTTTTATTAATCAAGCATACAGAATTGCCAAATGGGTCTACTAAAAGATTATGGTTCCAGGTTTGATAACATACACTATATCTGCAGTCCCCCTACTCACTGGGAATCCCAGGCCCAGTGTCACACTAAAACCAGAAATGTTCTAAAACAGTAGATTGCATTTAAAATTATGGCATGAGGCTAGAGATCTGTAGTCTAAAGATGACATCTAAAGCAGAAATAGCAAAAGAGAGGTTTCAGGGGATTTCAAACACAAAAGCAAAGTAATTTTTCTACAGTGTATCATCTTTAGAACTTTTCTAGGCTTGGTGAAAAAGATACAGTCTTACTTGTAGCCCTTTAGTTTCTATTAAAAAAATATAAAGATTCTTTTTGAGAACCATTTCTAGAAATGCTGAAATGTTGGCTAACATCTTTTCCGTGGACTTCTGTCTCACTGAAGACTCTGCTAGAAGCAAGAAAGGATGACTTATATGAACAGAACATGGAGGCATCATCATACCGTTGCTCAGCTTTACTTCAGGCTATTTTTGGTCCTCTAGAAAATGATGTGATGCAGGGGATTTATTCAAAACCAGGAGGACATCATCTCCTCATTCAGAAGACAGAATTGCTGAAAGCAAGATACTATTGGGAGCCCAGGAAAGGAATGCAGGTATTCCAAGTTTTATCTATTAATTGCAGGAAATTGTTAAGGGGCTTCTTTCAAAAACCAATGAGGACAGGAAGAAAGTATTTATTCTCTAATGATAGCTGTGGAATTAAACCGAACCATACCACCATAATCACCAGACGTTTATTGCAATCATGAACATTCATTATAATGATAGGACTTTCTTGATGACGTGGCACAGAATGGCAGTAACTGAAGCTAATGTAAGAAAATATGATAATTGACTGCCTTATATAAACTAAAAGCAAAACATTTAAACGCCATTGCAAGTATAGCTACATTCAGGAGTTCAAACAATATCCTAAATTTTACCCCTTCCTTCCTTCTTTCCAACCTCCATTTCAGCTTTTTGTTCCGTTTTCCTCACTATTGGTTTCATTCTCAGGCAGGCTCACCCCGCATGGCGGCAGCATGACACCAACAGCTCCAAGCTTAGCTAGTCTTTTGTGCTCACAATCTTGGGGAGAAAGCTTATCTTCCCAGCATCCATATCAGTCTTTCAAACACCCAGGTTGCAGTCTTTTCGCCTTGTCCCCAAATTCTTTGCATCTAGCGGCCTTGGGTGTTCTGATTGGCCAGCCCAGAGATTGGCCACCCCTGTGACAAATGAGGCTTCATTGGCAGGGTTACCGACTACAGGGCTGAGCACTTCCAGGAAGGAAAGGATCCGGGGATGAAATAAAGGTTTATAACATTCTTAATCCCCATTTCCTACTTCTAACTGCATGTTTTTGGGGTCCCCAGGCTGAGAAGGCTCTGCAGGAATATTTACACTCCAGACAGTCTACAAGCGATGCCATCCTACAGATAGACCTGGCTCTAACAAAGAGGCAAAAGGAGATAGAAGGTGAGTAGGAAATGGAGGGGATGTAAGACAGATCTTGCCACACATTTTAAGTAAATTTCACCTGGTTCACCTGTGATCCATAAACCAGAGCAAGTGTGTGAAAGATGATTTCCTAGCTCCTTGGGCTGAAGCTGAATAGGGCATGTACCGTCTGCTGCAACATGGTTTTCTGGAAGGAAAACAGTTCCAGGGAATTTTCTTTATGAGGTAGTAGCAATAACAAGAGTGGAAAGCAGAAGGAAGAGGCTCTCTAATCCTAGAGAGGGTTGCCATTTTCTTCTTTTTCAGAGGCACATATGAAAGCAATGGCTGCGAAAATTGAAGCACAAAGGTTGGAGGTGATTCAGAGGTATAACCTGCAAATGATGGAGCAAAGGGAGCGGCTCCATCAAGAACAAGTGAGACAGATGCAAATGTTCAGAAAGTACCAGGTGCAACAACAGCAGAGGGCCCTAGAACGTCGATTCCAGGTATTCCTCAAGTATTTCATCTCAGGATTTTAATCGTCTCTCCCCTCCCTGTATCGATGAGGCATGAAGCAGTGACAAGGCGGAGAAGCAGTACGGTACTGTGGCACAGGTCAAGGACTCTGGGGTCAGACTTCGTGGGTATGAATCCCAGCTCCACCTCCTACGACAGACGTGGTTTGGGCACCCGATCTGTCCCCTCTGTGCCTCGGTTTCCTCTGGTGGAAAATGGAGACAGTAATAATGCCCAGTTTATAGGGTTATTTTGATAATTAAATGAGAACATTTGAGTTCAGAATTGTGTTTGTTCTAGAAAAAGCACTAAAATTTGTTAAATAAAAGCCCAGGCCCTCTCTATCCCCTGGCAATTAGGGTTTGTTTGGTTGGTTGGTTGGTTGTTTTTTGGGGGTTTTTTTTTTTTTTTTGGTACCTTGTTCATTGCTCTAGACAGTCTTCTTCTTTGGTTATGATTACCTTATTAAATTAATTCATCCTTTTGTGTCTATGCCCCTATCCTTGCCTTAATCATCAGTGGTTCTAAAGGCCTTTAGCTTGAAGTTTATTTCATTCAGCCCTTTACTATTACCATTACTCAAAAAGCAGTAGCTCCTATTTACCAAGCACTGTACAAAGTACTTTGCATTCATGCTCTCATCTGTCCTGTTCAATGTGAAGCAGAAGTATGAGGTGCGATGAGAAAAATGAAGTTCCAGAAAGAGATAACTCAATGCCAATACCAGCTTACCAAATTATCTAAACTGCCTTCCCAGAAATTAGGATCTTCAGTGGTTTGTTTCTACAAACCTGGTACAAAAATCTTGGGTGGATACCCTTATGAGGCAGCCCTTCCCCGGTGGGGGGCGGTGTGTGGACAGTCTACCTGCACGTCCCAGTTTTCCAGGTACTGATCCAAGACTTTTTGAGATTACAGCCCTGCACCAAGGGGCAGTATAGTCGACGTGGGATTCTTGATCTCCTTGCTCTCCTTCTACTTCTGTCCCCTAACTGTGGAGACCTAGAACAAATTACCTTAGCAAAGGCTCAAACTCCTTGCCTGACTGTGGAGGTCCCCTAGACACCCAGCTTCTCTTCTTCAAACTAGATCTGACATTCCTCTCTGTATAGGTGAGAATTAAAGTCTGGCTGTGACAAAGATTGCCTAGGGAGGATGTATAAAATAAGGGGATATAATTCTTGGGACACCAGTATTTCAGGGATTGGGAGAAGATGTTGTTTCTGGAGCTAGAGAAAGAGGTAAAAGGAGAGGGATGACATAAGTAGGAAACCAAGACTGAGAAATGCACATGAATGGAAAAGAAGAATTCAGTGACTGTCTGTTACTTACTGACAGATTAAAATAAACAAAGAAAAGTCAATGATCTGGGCTTTTTCCCAAGTGATTTGGACATTACTTTCTGCTAAGCTCTACCGTTTTATTAACACTCTTTAGGAAGAGGCCAAAAATCTCAATAAGAAAATCGAAGCTGAACACAGAAGCCTTCAAAACGAAATCCAGGATCTCCAGAGGAATGCGGCCTCACAGGATGATCAGGATGATAAATGCATCTTACTCTAAAGAGTTAAACATCAGAACTAACTTTTCTTGTTCTCTTTCACTAAAGACACAAAAGAATGAGAAACTATAGAACCTGGGACAATCATCGCTTAAACAAACTTCATAATTATTGTATCAAACTTCTGTACAATTATAAAGATATAAGGCTTCTAATTAGTAAAATGTACATTTCAATAACTCCATAGTTTAAATGATGATCACTTCCTTAAAGAGACTGTGAAATTGTGTAATAAGGGAATTTTATCACTCTCTTTGGGGTGATACTGGATTGGTTCCATCAGGGGAAACTGTCTTGTAACCCAAATCCATCCCTCCAATTTTCCATTTTTGGACTGAGGGGATTGGAAGTGGCCTAAGGGGTGTTATCCACAATGGACCAAGTCAAGTACAATTTGGCCAAAGTCATGGGCTCTGATGGGCGTCACTCCTGCCAAGTGGTCTTGTGCTGGATGCCATCAGAGGGAGGCACCAATACTAAGGACGACTAATCTCGCTTCTTAGTGGAAACAATGCATGGTTCTCATGTGAATGGACATTGCTCAATCTATGTGCAATGATATGACTTCTGGGTACGGTTAGTATAGTAAATAATCTGCTTAATTCTAAGCTGTAAACAAAACAAAAGAAAACAACTTAAAAAAAATGGTAATGAAATAGAGGTACTCCAGAAAATGGAAAGAACTACCAGCATAGAAATTGTGTCATAGGCTGAGGGCTAAATAAGACTTTTCCTTGTTCATCCTCACAAAGGGCATAACTTAAATAGGATATTTTATATCATGAAGCAATTTATATTGGACTTAATAACTGTGTGTCACATGTTTATAATCTTCAGAGCCTGTAAATAGATGGTATAAGAAAGGCTAAATAAGGTGCATGGGGATCATTTCCTTTTTACACTTACTTTAGTGCTTAAGTTAAATGATCTTAATTCTTTGCAATCATATATAAAAGTGTACTGATTTTTTTCTAAAATTATGGACTGTTTAAATATATTGGTACATATTTTTAGTTATAAATAACAATTAAATTTTTCAAAAACATAACTCTACTACTTTGTTTTTATTTTCTCCAAAATTAGAAAAATTTGGAAGGTCATACATGCTACAGACACATGACTGTACCTTGAGGTTATCCACTTGCACCATTGCTCTCTCTATATACGTGTCTAACATGGCCTCTGCACAGCAGGGCACTCTCATGTGGCCAGCTTCCAAGACAGTGTTTCAAGTAGCAAAACTACAAGCTTAAGATCTCTTAAGATCCAGTTTTGCACTCAACAACCCCTTTTTCTGCATTCCATTGTATCAGGATAGTTCATAGCGACAGCCCAGATTCAAGGCAATGAGAAATGAATCTACCTCTCTATATGAGGTGTGGCATTAATTTGCAGCCATTTTAAAAAGATCTATTTATTTGGGGGGGGGCGGGTGCCTGGGTCGCTCAGTTGATTAAGCATCTGCCTTTGGCTCAGGTCATGATCCCAGGGTCCTGGGATTGAGCCCCGTGTCTGGCTCCCTACTCGGCAGGGAGTCTGCTTCTCCCTCTCCCTCTGCCACTCCCCCTGCTTGTGCTCTCTCTCTCTCTCTCTCTCAAA